GCCAGGGACAGCCTGGCCTGGTGGATACGCCCTCCTGGCCGAGGCTGGGAAGGTCTATACGCCACCGTCCTGGGTCCCGGATTGTCCTGACCAGGCACGGTGAAGGTGTAAATATGCCTTCTGAGGAGCATGAGACTGCAAGGCGCGCGCAGTGAAGATCGTTGATTTAGAAGTGGAAGGTGTCGCTGCCAATGACTGCCATGTGTGTCTGTAACCATCAGGCGAGGCTACACGACATGTCACGATCATTAATGGGATCAGACGGCGCTCTATCTCCTCAGCATGCGACACGCCCTTGCCAATAAACCATGGCTACTGGCCGCAACCGTAATGCAGGGTGCTCATCGCAGCTCATTCGCTCAGCCCCTAGCGACCCTGCGGAGCAGCAGCCAATGAAAGGCCAGATTACACGGAGTGGCGAGAAAGGGCACGAGGGTCGAAAGAGGGCATGAGTGTCGAATCCTCAGAACGCACTGAAGGTCGTGGCTCTTGGGCACCATCTCGTTTCATAGGCTCCCTCCTCCCCCTGCCCCTTCTCCTCATCATCCTCCTTCCCCTCCTCCTCCTCCTCCTCCTCCTCCTCCTCCTCCTCTTCCTCCTCCTCCTCCTCGTCCGCGTCCTCCTCCTCCTCCTCCTCCTCCTCCTCCTGCTCCTCCTCCTCCTCCTCTTCCTCATCGCTCATCGCTCATCGTCTCCACCCCCGCGCCTTCCACAGGTCCGTGAATGCGGCCCGGCTCCCTAGGTACTCGCCAGTCTCCCAGGCCAGAGCCCCGGTGGCATCTGAAGGGCACCATCGGGCGCACTCGAGCGTCGGCGGCGACTTGCAAGACCATGCAAGAGTGAAGGGGACCTGGGACACACAAGTAAATCGACACGAATAACAAGATTCCCAATATTTTCGAATATTGTCTGGGTTTTCGTCTTCCCCCCCACTTCCCATATTTCCCCATATTTCCTGAGGAATCGACGATCAGTTGTGTCTGTGTGTTTTTCCTCATATCCTAAGATGGGGTTTTTGTTATTACACGGACGCCGCCGACTCCACTGAGAACACGCCTACTCATACACAGACTTACTCATACTCAGACCTTCTTATACTCATACCTTCTCATGGCCTGACTTACTCAACACCCAACATGCAGGCCTACTCATACTAAGACTTACTCATGCTGGGACTCCTTCATACCCAAAGTTACTCATACCCAGAATCAATCCCAGACCTGCTCATAAACATACTTACTCATACTCATACCTACACATACTCAGAACTTCTCCTAGTCTGAGTTACTCAACGCACGGACTGAGACCTACTCATACTCAGACCTAGTCATACTCAGACTCGCAAGGGGGGCCGCCAGGGGTGTTTTCACGGGCCCGTTCGCGGCCAGTTTGTGGGGATGTCTCAAGCAGTTTATTCGTTCTCATGCCCAACATCCGTGGTTTTCAAAGCAGATCGTGAGGATGTCTCAGGCGGGGCGCTGGTTTCAGCACCCCTAAGAAGGGGAGCCGCCAGGGGTGTTTTCACGGGCCCGTTCGCGGCCACTTTGTGGGGATGTCTCAAGCGGTTTGCTCGTTCTCATGCCCAACATCCTTGAGTTTCAAAACAAATAGTCAGGATGTCTCAGGCGGGGCGCTGGTTTCAGCACCCCTAAAGGGGAGCCGCCAAGGATGTTTTCACGGGCCCGTTCGCGGCCACTTTGTGGGGATGTCTCGGGCGGTCTGCTCGTTTTCATCCCCAACATCCTTGGCTTGCAGAGCAAACTGTGAGGATGTCTCAGGCGGGGCGCTGGTTTCAGCACCCCTAAGAAGGGGAGCCGCCACGGGGTAGGACACGGGCCCGTTCGCGGCCAGTTTGTGGGGATGTCTCAAGCGGTTTGCTCGTTCTCATGCCCAACATCCTAGGGATTCAGAGCAGATTATGAGGATGTCTCAGGCGGGGCGCTGGTCTCAGCACCCCTAAGGAGAGCCGCCAGGGGGTAGGACACGGGCCCGCTCGCGGCCACTTAGCGGGGATGTCACAGACGGTTTGCTCGTTTTCATGCTGCGAGGAAGGAGAAGAGGCGTGCTGTTCCCTTGGGTCGTGCTCCGGCACGTACCCTCTGGGACGCACGGAAGAAGGAGTCGAGGCGTGCTGCTCCCTTGGGTCGTGCTTCGGCACGTACCCTCTGGGACGCACGGAAGATGGAGTCGAGGCGTGCTGGTCCCTTGGGTCGTGCTCCGGCACGTACCCTCTGAAACGCACGGAGGAAGGCTTCGAGGCGTGCTGGTCCCTTGGGTCGTGCTCCGGCACGTACTCTCTGGGACGCACAGAAGATGGAGTCGAGGCGTGCTGGTCCCTTGGGTCGTGCTCCGGCACGTGCCCACTGGGACGCACGGAGGAAGGAGATGAGGGAGGGTGCGTGCTGGTCCCTTGGGTCGTGCTCCGGCACGCACCCTCTGGGACGCACGGAGCAAGGAGATGAGGCGTGCTGCTCCCTTGGGTCGTGCTCCGGCACGTACCCTCTGGGACGCACGGAGGAGACTGCAGGAATAGAAAGACCTGGAGCACATTTTCAGGCCATTTGAATCGAAAAGCATGGGAGATGCTGCCGTTTTTTAAGATTCTGGGTTTCCAGGAATTTTGAGCCCGTGGGCCTCCTGTCGCTCGCAAGTTGAGATTTTGTAGGGCATGGCCATATGTTTGTTTTTTGTCGACGGTTGTTTGTTTTTTCCGTGGTTTTCGGTTTTTTGTTCGCTTCGGAGGTCCCCGGAGGAGCCCTCTGGGATCAGGGGGCGGGGGCAAATGGAGATGTTGTAAGTCATGGCCATATGTTTTTGCTATTGTTTTCTCGACGGTTGTTTTTTGTCGTTGTTTTCTTTTTTTCCGTTTCGGAGGTCCCCGGTGCAGGTCGCGAGGTGCCGTTTGAAGCACTTGTTATTCGTACTCCCCCTGGTGCTTCAGACGCGGCGCCGAAGGAATTCTTTGCCTTGGCAAAAAATGCGCGGACATATGAATGTTAATGAATGCATGCACGTGGTGGATGTGCAGCCGCGCTGCGCGCACGTGTGCTCGCCGCTCACATGGACGCGCTCGTGGAGCAAACAACTATCATGGACAAATGCTCGCCGTGGCACTATCCTACAACATGATATGCACATATGGCTTTGTGTGGCTAAACGCTCGTTTTACAGATCCCACTGCCAACTATCCTAAAACATATGACATTACCACAGGCTGAGGAGGGCACGGCCTGGCAGCTGAGGAGGGGGAATGAATGGGAGGCTCACATTCAATCATACTCAAAGCTCACTCTGACTCATACTCACTCACTCGCATTAGGATTCACTCGTCTTCGTCGGCCCTGTCGCCCACGTGGACGCGCTATTATAGTCAAACGCTCATGAACAGACGCTCGCTATGGCATGGCATCAGACATGAGATGCACATATGGGGAGCTCCACGCAGTGAGTAATTTGTCCTCCCGGAAGGGGGGGGGACAGCAATGACTAGCGACCGAAGTCATGATCCGGGCACACGCTGACACGGATTACGGATCGGTGGATCCGTCGCGTGGTCGCATGGGCGTGTCACTTGGATCGGGGAGAGTGCCCTTCGAAACATGGCGACAATGCCGCCCGATTTGGCGACGGAGCGCACCGACGTCGTATGGAAACGGGCCAGCCGCTAACCCACGCGCCTGAATCCATGTTTGCGTCTCCTCGGATGATAATGGATCGGAGAGGGGGTCCCCCCCTACCCTAAACCATCCTCTTTTCCCACCCTCTTGGTGGAATTTGTGGCTACCACGCCTCCTCCCACACCCGAGGTCGAAAGAGTGAGCGCAAGCGTGAACCTGCCGATGCCACCCGAGAACACCTGCAATGAGGACTGAAGCCAGACTATGACCAAGAGGTGCCGTCTCAGGCTGAGAGACGTGTCAGAGGCCTGGCTTCTTGGCTGTACAGTTTCGCGATCTGGCCACTTAGAGGAATAACCCATGCATAAACATAAACTTTCAGAGGTCCGCGAGGATTTCTTGGATCGGCGATGGCCCCCCATCCCTGGAACGCGAAGTGCGCCAGGGAGGTCCAGCGCCGATCCAAGACATCCAACCAGAATTCCAAAAATGTTTGCGCGCGCCGATGTTATTATTATTATTGTTATTATTAGTATTGTTGTTATTATTATTATTACTTTTTATTACTATTATTATAATCATTGTTATTATTATTAATAATAATATTATTATTATTATTAATAATATTATTATTATACTTGATGGTTCCAAATCGATTTGGCCGATTCCACAAGCCATGAACCCAACATCGCTGCCATCTCTTGGGGGTGCATGTTTATTTCCACCGGCTTCCGCCAGCTTCCGCCAGAGGAAGCGGCCTCGCTTTACTTCTGCGGGCTTCCGCCATCCTTCTGCCGCCTTCCGCCTCGGAACGCCTTCTATCCTCGAAGGCGAGGCCCTTTCTGGAACGCACCTCGCCTTCTCTGTCTATGTCCCCTCGCCTAATTATTCGACCGTTTCCACATCCATGTCTCCTCACCTCTGGGAAAACCACAAGGTACTGATACCGCTGCTCCCTGGACCTCTCTCGGGGTGCCTTCTGACCAAAACTTCGAAGCGAATCCAGCGCTGCCGACGAGCGCCTCCCAGGAGGCACAGCAAGGCGACAGCGAGGAAGGGGACCGGTAGGGTGATGGGCCTGTTTTCCACCACCACCACCACCATAAGTTGCAGGGGGAGGGGGTCCTCCTCCTCCTCCTCCTCGTCCTCCTCCTCCTTCTCCGCCTCCCCATCCTTTTCGTCCTCCTCCTCCTCCTCCTCGTCATCCACCTCCTTCTCCCATGCAACTTATGGTGGTGGTGGTGGGAGAAAAACATGATAAGGGTATCTTTTCCTCCTCTGACCCTCCCGGTCCTCATTCTCATGTTCGAAGGGAGGCCCGGCCGACGGCATCTCCAAGCCCGGCCTGCGAAGGCCTCGGGAGCGGAGCGGCGGCGGCCTCTCCGGACCCCAGCGGTGGATCGGGAACGCGCACGCCAGGAAGAGCCACACAGTGCACCAGGACCTGAGACGGGCACCGCCGTCGGATGGAGCCTCATCCTCCCTCCCCCTTCTGTCCCCTTTGGTGATGGCGGCGATAGGGGTCACCCTCCTCCTCCTCCTCCTCCTCCTCCTCCTCCTCCTCCTCCTCCTCCCCCTCCTCCCCCTCCTCCTCCTCCCCATCCTCCTCCTCCTCCATCCCTCTCCTCCCCTCCCCTTCTCCTCCTCCTCCTCCTCCTCCTCCTCCTCCTCCTCCTCCTTCTCCTCCTCCTCCTCCTCCTCCTCCTCCTCCTCCTCCCCCTCCTCCTTCTTCTCCTGTTGCTCGGACTCCTCCCACGCCCCCTCCCGCATCCTCCCTCTCCCCCTCATTTACGTGATCCCCCTACTTCTCATCATCACACTCCCCCTTCTTTCTCCAATGGACTTGGGACATTCCTCCTCCGATTCATCTGTCTGCTCCATCTCCCCCCTGCTCATCGCTCTCCCCCCACTCCCCCTCCTCCTCGGGCTCTGCGATCCCACCCCAGCGGAGGGCCAGTTTGACGATCGCGCTCTGAACCAGCCGCGCAATCCTCAATGTTGCACACGCGCGTGAGAGGCTGTGCGAAGCCTTGCGGGAGGTTTAATTGGAAGTGGAGAAATAGGCTACCAAACGTCTCCCAGGATACGCAAAAAGCCCAGGCGGATCACGGAAACGTCAGCAAACATATACTTCTCTACGGGGTGCTCCGCGAATGCACCTCATGATCGCACCAGCACCACACGGCTCCTCGTGTATCGAGTCAAACTATGGGCTGTCGACAAACGACCCGAGTCGCGATCGGATCACGGCCGAGCTGGCACCCAAGACGCGATGTGCACCTCGATGGCGTCGTCCACAGCCGCCTCGACGCTGAGCGCCAAGAATGCGCTGCGCGGCGAGCCGTTGTTTCTGGCGCTGGCATGGAGCAAACGAGCCACGAGGGGAGTGTGGGGGGCTGCGGACTGCGCAATGGTCTCCACTTTCGTAGGTTTCTTGGAGGTCCAGCGGAGTGGAACTGTCAACGGACCCCGTTGAAACCTCGCGGCTCTTTGGCGGGGGGGCTGCGAACTGCGGTCCAGCGGGGTGGAGTTGTAAACGAACCGCGGTGGAACCTCGCGGCTCCCTGGGGGGGCTGCGAACTGCGCAATTGTCTATGCTTTCGTGGGCTCCTTGGAGGTCCAACGAAGTGGAACTGTCAACAGACTGCGTTTGTACCTCGCGGCTCCCTGAAGGGAGCGGCGAACTACGCAACTGTCGCCACTTCCGTGGGCTCATGGGAGGTCCAACGAAGTGGAGTTGTAAACTGGACGCGTTGGGACCTCGGGGGTCCCCGGGGGGGGCTGCGAACTGCGCAGCTGTTGCCACTTTCGTGGGCTCTTGGGAGGTCCACCGGAGCGGAGTTGTAAACGGACCGCGTTGAAACCTCGCAGCTCCCTGCAAGGCTACGAACTGCGCACCTGTCGCCACTTTCGTTGGCTTCTGGGAGGCCCGGCCCAGATGAGGCCGGTTCTGATCATGCGTACCTGGGGATGCGTCCTTTTGTATGAAGCGCTCATACAAAGATTGGCCTCGCCTGGAGAAAGGGTTGGGTACGTCTCGGGCTACGAAAGAATCATTAACGGGAAACCCCTTAGTATGGAACCCTGAGCAACGAGTTCTGAACAAAGAATCCTGTATGCGGAATCCTTAATAGGCTTAACTCCTCCCGCAACTTTTTACCTCCGGCACTCAGGAAGCGTTGCTATGGTCGGAGCCGTGAGCGCATCGACACCGAGACGATTGACTAGGCACGAAACGCAAATACAAATCGGCTCCCTGGAGGTGCGGGGAGGTGGGTGGGTGACGGCTGAGGCCATTGCTCCCGTCCCAAAGCCTACAAGTCAGGCTTAACTCCCCCCGCAACTATTTATCTCCGGCACTCAGGAAGCGTTGCTATGGTCGGAGCCGTGAGCGCATCGACATCGAGACGATTGACTAGGCACGAAACGCAAATACAAATCGGCTCCCTGACCCAAACCTCCAAACATGCTAAGCGAGACACACAGCATGCATGAAGACACTTCCCAGCCTGTGAGACAAGCAGCAAGCACTCAGTTTTTGCCACGCACGGGAGAGGCCACGGCCCATGCGAGCAGGCCTGGCAGCGCAGCAGCGAAGCTCCCCACGAGCTCTCGCGAGGCCTGCGACAGGTTCGGCACGAACGCCACCGCCGCCACCTCCTGGATGTAGATCTCCATGGACTTGAGCTGCCTCCACCTGCCCCTCCACTGGGTGCGCGGCAGGTCCTCGGACTGCTGGAAAAAGAACGTGGCACCGCCGCCACGATGAGATGCTGGCGTCAGGCCATGCGCCTCCGTGGCCGCGATGCCGAAGAAATGCACCAGCGCGTCGTGGCACCGCCGGAACTGCTGGTAGGAGCCGCTGAAGATCTTCTTTCCAGGCGGCTGCCCTGCCGCCAGCACCTCCAGCAGCCTGACCAACGCCACCTCGTCGCACCTGGCGTGCTCCATGCGAGCCACCGCCCAGCGGGCCTTGGGCTCGCGCACCTTAACGTAGCACACCTCGTTGTCCGCCATCAGCTGAGACGGCAACAAGATGTCCGAGTAGGTCAGACCGTGGGCCTCGCCAGGCCGCAGCATGCACGTGAAGGCCAAGAAGATGAGGACGGCCATGTCGATCCACCTCCAGCTGAGTGCCAAGGCCACCAGCGCGCGCAACACCGGCAGCGGGGTGGGGAAGCGATGGCGCGTCGGCAGGGCGTACTGCCACGCCTGCGACACATCCCACGCCGCGCCCATGTGGCGGCGCAATGACCTCTCCACGTCCACGATCGCGTTGGTGGTCTCCGTGTAGTGCTTCAAACTCCTGCCACGCGAGTAAAGCACCTGGCCGTACGAGGCGACGATGTTGGAGACCACCCGCGGCAGCTGCACCACCAGCTCCGCCGCCGACCAGCCGCCGTCCAGCGCCAGGAGCCACGTCTCGAACTGCTGCAGCAGCAGGCGCCTCATCTGTGCCGTCTTGGTGCCCGTCTGCGGCCGCAGGCGGAGGTCGACCGCGGGCCGAGGATCGGGCGGCTCGCCTGCCACGCGAGCGCCACTCGTCATCATCATCCCGCTGATCCAGACCACGGCGATCAGCCTGCATCCGCCTGAAGCCACGCTGGCAGGGCCCTCGCCAGGGTAGCCGAGCGTGCTGTCGAAGTCCTTCTGCGTCCACAAGAGCAGCTTGAACGTCATGCGACACCACTCCGACTCGGCGCGCCGCTGGCGAGGCACGCGCGTCCACTGGTCAGGCTCCGCAAGTCGCCAGCTGCAGCCGAGCGCCACCAAGCGGGCGGCGTGGCCGACGGCGGGGCGATGCCTCGGCCCCGAGACGGCCCGTCGGCGGGGATCAGGCGCGTGGGCGCGAAGTCGTACCCCGGGTACACGTCGAACCCAAGCACGTCGGGCAAGCCCACCTTCAGGTCGTCGTTGAGCGCGTGCGACGCCGACCTACCCTTCGAGCAGGCACCCAGCGCCACGGTCGAGTCCAGCAGGAACGGTTGTCGGGTCCCAGGCTGCTGCCGCGCCGCCTTCGCCCTCGCTCTCAGGTGGGCGCGCACCTCCAGGCGGTTGATGTGCGTCGCCGGCGGGCAGGGGTCACAGGTGAAAGCGCGCCAGCGGCAGCAGCGGATCAGGTCGTTGACGAAAGGCTGCTCCAGTCGCCCGCCAGCCGCGGCCGGCGCCTGCTCGGGTCCTCCCAGCGGGGCCCCGGCTGCCAGATGCGCCCGCGTCAGCTCGGCCCAGATGGCGCACAGCTCGGCCGTGTAGGCGGCCGCCGGCGCAGCGCGCGCCGCACCGACCAGCGGGCGGCTATGAGCGCGGCGCTCATGCACGCAGGGGCGGGACAGCGGCTGAAGCCGCCGTTCACCAGACCCAGCCGCGTCGGCTTCTGGTACGGCGCGCCGAAGGCACAGGCCGCAAAGTCCAGCGAGCCACAGCCGGGTTTGGCGAGCAGCGACCGCATCGCCGGCACGTACCACGAATAAGCGCCAGCGGGATGCTCCATGGACCCGAGCCTGTCGTACTTGAGCGCGGTCCACAGGATGAGGAGCACCCTGTAGAGCAGGACGGTACCCAGGCGCGTCACAGGATCAGTAGGATCCAGGCTCAGCGGCTGGGCTCGCGAGCGCAACCGCGGCTGCCGCGCCAACGAAAACGTGGCGCACGGCGGGGCGCAGTGCACGTAGGCGACCCGGCCGTTGATGATCAGGAAGAGGATCCACTCCGCGATGCGGACGGAGCGCAGGTCCCAAAGCGGATGCGTCTTGGGGTCGATCCTGGGCCCCACTCGCAGCTCGGCGGCCGCATGTGCCGAGGACCAAGGGGCATCACGCCCGTTGCAGACCTCCAGCACGTCGAACACCTCGAGCAGATGCCAGCGCGGCACCTTAGCCCCAGGCCGCAGCTCCTCGTCTATGTCCTGCAGCCAGGCCCGATCCTCCAGTCGCTTGTGCGCGCGGATGTAGGCCACCTCCTTGCTGGTGAGCTGCGTGTACCACCCGCGCTGGTCCCTGTGCCGCCAGATCTCGCGAACCACCGGCTGGGCGACGTCGGCCTCGACGGCAGCCATGAAGTGGTGCGAGGCGTCGCTGCACACCACCCTGCTCGCTACCTTCGCCTTGAGGTTGGTGACCAGCGTGGGCGCCAGCATGGACAACAGCATCAGCCCCTGCCGCGCGCCCGCGTTCAGCTCGAAGACGTCGTCGTCAAGCGGCACCGCCGGCAGCGCACGGAACACTTCGTCCAGCAGGCACATGGCGGGCCGCCGAAAGCCCACGACATGCACCCAGCTGGCCACCGTCCTCCTGAGCAGGGCGCCCGTCGCGAGGCCGTGCGCCGCAATGCCAGAGGATAGCAGCGCCAGGCCAGCACTCCGCAGACGTTCAGCGCCGATATGTCCCGAAGACAGCACCTCCGCTCCCAGCGCGAAGCCCGCGGAGGCGCCTGCCACGCGCTTGTCGTCCGCGGCCCTCAGCCCCACCTGAGCGTAGGCTCCAGCGAAGGACTGCACCAGCTCGCGCGGCAGCTGCCGAGAGCCCCGCGCCCGCTGCCCCAGGCCGATGTGGTCGTCGATCTGCAGCAGCTCCGCGCGCGCGCCCTTCGGGAAAGGCCGATGGTGCTGTACCCGCACTGCGTCCGCCAGCGAGCCCCCCGCCTGCATCACGGCCTCGCGCGCGCCCTGGGCGAAGTCGATGGCGCTCAGGTCCCCCATGAGCAGGCTGGGCACGCACGCCACGCAGTGCTCCCCCAGCTCGGCGCGGCGCGCCGCGTACGCCTTGGTGTGATTCAGCAAATGCGTGGGGACCTTGCGCCGCAGGATGTTGGTGCGCGCCTTGGCCGGCGTAGAGTCGAAGGCGGGGTAGAAGTCGGCCACGTCCTCCGCGAGCAGCACGGGTACGAAGCCCTCGTTCAGCTCGTAGTCGCACAGCGCGTGCCCAGAGACAAGGCGCTGGCTGCCCGACTGCAGCGTGTGCTCGGCCGCGTTCCGTATCCTGCGATCCCACACGATACGATCTCGGTGCTGATCACGGTAGACCGGGATGAGCTTACAAGCCTGGCCCATGTCCACCTCGTCTGGCCTCGCTAAATACAGCTTGTGGGAGCGATCCAAATCCAAAGCGAACTCCACGACCTGATTCATGCTCCCAGACTGCCGCATAGCCTTCAAGCCATGCTCGAGCGGGACGCCCCTCAAGATCAGCTCCGGGTCCAGGTACGCCGCCGCCTCGAAAACGCGCAGGTGGTACACAGGGTCGAAGTGGGCCTCCTGCTTGCAGAAGGTCGCGCGGCTGGCCACGAAGGGCGCCACCGCGAGAGGGGGTGGAACGCGCGCCTGCTGCTCGG